CAGGCGCTTTGCCGCTGAGCTAAATCCCCAGCCCCATTCCTTCAGTTTTGAATGAAACAATCTCAACAGTATTAAGAAACGTTATCACTTTGTTATCAATACTGAGAAAAAGTACTTTTTTTATTATCTCATAACTAATGCTGCATCTTAAAATATCATTTACAGTCCTTATCATTTCTAAATTTTAAGTAATAAGCCTATTGCTGTGTCTCATTTAATGAATTAAAAATGAAAATATAATGCTATATCTCAAGGCACTTTTACAAAGTATTTTATTTACTAAATTTCAAAATAATTGATTTCATTTATAATTCGATTTCTTCTGTTTCATACTTTAAAAACAATATTCCAATAAGAGATTTATAGGTTTCACCATACTGCCACAAAGATCCATGGTATGAAAGACTTACAAACTCCTGTATTGAATTAATGGAAGAATCAATAAGTGCTTCAAGTTTGAGTGATGACTGAGAAGTCTTATGTTAATGGCTAAAGACCTATTTAAATTTTAGAAGTTTGTTTGTGACATCATCTGTGTACCTGTCACACAGTAAATGTCCATTACTGTTAGTTTTTAACTATTTCTTGCTAGGATCTTCCATTTTCTATTGTTTTCTAACCCTTGCTGAAGAGAATCTCAAATTCTGAACAGTATCAACTCAGTCAATTATGGACTACTTGGACTGATTCAATATTACATTAAAAATCATTGCATTGCTTAAAAATAGCAAGTTTAATAATAACTAGATAGATATGATTTTATAAATATATAATACATATCAATTTTACTTGGCTGTTCCAGTAAATATATTATGCTTATGCAATAAACAAGCAAACAAACATGAAATGAAGTTTTAGAGTTAATGGAATCAAGTTAGTGGTAGTTGTTTGAATTTGTCAGACTATGGTTAGCACTCCCAGACACGCACACCAGACTGACTATCTAACTTAGGCCAAAACATTTTACTGATTATATACTTCTGTATACACAATTATGTGCAATTGTTTTTTCTGGAGTTGCAATTGATTTTTTTTCTAAATAGATGGTTAGTATATACTATTCTACTAGTTATCTCTCCGTTATCTTGGTTTCTTGGTCCATTTTTATTGCTATAACAGAACACCCAAGGCTGGGTAATTTGCAATGAAAAGAAATTAATTTTTAAAGTCCTAGAGGCCAGAAAATCCAGGATCAAGGTGCTGATATCCGACAAGGACCTTCTTGATGTATTATCCCATGGCAGAAAACACAAGTGTGAAATGAGGGAGGAAAGAGAGTTACATTCTCCTTTTATAAGAAACCCACTTCATCATAACAAAACATTTCCATGCTAAAAGCCAATCCAATCATTAGGGTATAACCCTCCTGTCCTAATTATCTCTTAGTAATCTCACCCTTAATACTGTTGCATAAAGGATTAAGCTTTCAACATATGCTTTTGGGGGGTACATTAAAACCATAGCACTTAAGTAGTAACAAATAACAAATCAACCAGTGTTATTATGTGGAAAATTAAAGCCTTGTTTCAAGTGTACCCACGTAATTTTTAAATCATCTTCTGCTGTGTATTCTAATTAGATAATTTTTATCTTACGGCTATTCCTTGTGATTATCCCTTGGGATAAAGGATGCTATACTTTCTAATATGCAGGAAAAGCAAAAAAAAAAAAAAAAATAGTGAATAGTTTGCTCACTAAAGTAAGGACTGTCAAAGACAATTACTTAAGGCAATAACGAAACATCTTCAATTAGAGGAGCATTGTGCAAACAGTATACATTTTCTACTTTCTCAACATCATCTAGAATGCCCCATTGGAAGGGTTGCTCTCCTTTGTTCCAGAGCATTGTCGTCATCTGCAAGCTGAAAGCTGGGAGGATGCGTGTCCAGGTTCCATCAGGAAGAACAACGTGTAGAGGTGGTTCCCCCACTGCTTCAGAGCCTGGGACGGTAGAGTACATCCCTTCCACTCCCAGGACACTTTAGAAAACTGAGCGTGGCCGTACTTGACTGCCAGGAGGACAAAACAGTTTGTGCTGAGTATCCAACATTCTTCACTATGGTTATTATTCCTTTCTTTTTTTAAGACAACTTATCATTTACAAAACACTTTTATGCATATTTGTTTATTTTTACTCAACAAGGTAAAACTATAGTTAACTACAATTTCTTACATATACTTTCAAAGTAAAATATAACTATAACTAGTTATTGAAAATTTTATGCTACATGTTTAGGGGATAAAATTTAATGTAACTTATGGAGCTTTCCCTCTAAGAAGTTCCATAGAAGGTAGAAACTCAAAAAAAAAAAAAAAAGAAAAACACAAAAATAAACAAAAAAAAACTAGTATAAACAAACAATAGAAGGGATATAAATAACTTTTTATAGAACTAATTATCTAGAAAAGAATGGAGATATAAGTAATATAGGAATTTATGAGGCTGTAAGTTGACTGTGAAATTGGTTTTTCCGAGGAGGGTTAATGGGAAAGAATGCTGTGAATAGGAAAGGAATAATTTCAAAGGAATAATAAGATTTAGAACGCATATAAAGATACAGAAGTTATTCAACATTAGGGGGAAAGGCTACCTCACCCTCTCAAACAGTGCTGGAGACCAACAGACTCTTGCCTCCTCCCTCCAATACAAAAATAAAATGGAGTTTGTATATCTGAAAAATGAGTTTTTGTTAAGTTGAATTACTGAGATTTTATCATCTCCCTGTTATTTTAAGCAGCACTGACTTTAAGTAAGACACTAGTATACTTAATATCAGAAACAATTAATCTTTTAATATGCTTAAATTGCCTTGATTGTGACATATATGTGATAAATTCTTATGTAAAGTTTAAACTATACTCATTGATTTCTTCAAAAGAGAATGTCAGATATGCATTTTGAATTTATTTCAGTTAAAATTTGGAACCTTTTTTAACTAAACATAAATATATTGTTATTAATAAAAAGAAATAATAAAAGTCAAGTTAATTTTATTTATTTACTTTTTTGGTACCGGGAATCAAACTCACGACCTCGTGTGTGCCAGGCTGGTGCCATGCAGCTGAGCTAAATCCCCAGGCCCAAGTTAATTTTAATACACAAACCTTAAAATGGTTTATAAAGTCTAGGTAACATAGACTGTTAAAAAAAAAAAAAACCCACAGACATGAAAAATAATTATCTGCACATGCTGTTTTCTCCACTAGGTGGCTGATCTTGTGTTAGGTCGTACTTGCTATATATGCTGCCAAAATGCGCAGTCAGGTCATACCGGGAAGGGACAGTTACTGGGCTTTACTCTTTTCTGCCTCTTGATCTCCATTTCCCTTTCTTGATTTCCTGCTTCTGTTCTACCCTCTGTGCCTTGCTTTGCTCTTGGAATGGAACCAGAGGCTTCACTTTAGCTTTAGGTAAGGTAGTTTTAGCACTGCACTTAGTTTACTGGGAAGTCCTGATCAGCAAGTCAAATAGTGCTCTATTTCTAAAATTGTACATCTCAGATGGCTCCGTAGTGGCACCTTACATTTCCCAAAGCTCATCACATTTCTTTTTTGTGTAGTTCCTATGATCCTGGCCAATTCTGTTTGTCCTGCTAATTAGTATTTTTAGCATCCTTTTCCTACTCTTTGTGTGTTGGTACTGACTTTCCTGGTAACATTCTTTAGCCTGTTTTCTAAACAGATGTCCTCAAATATTCAAGGGAGTGGATTGCATATACCTGTCAACAATGACTAACTGATCAGCGACTCTCTCTGGTAACCCTCTTTTACCTCACATCAGCATCATTTACATTTCTCCTTCATTTGGTTTAGAATAAGCAGTCTTTCTTTCTGCTTTTCTTTCATGTCCTTTTTTATACACTTTTTCCTTGCCTTCTCCATTTGATGATCCATAAGTCACTGTATGATTCTTAGTCAAAAGCTTAACCTTAGGATCTAATATTTTGAAAATAGGACTCTGAGTTTTTTAAATTTTATAGTTGATTAGTATTAAGAAGCCATCCTTCAGTGAGCTAGGAATTTCATAACAGAGGGAACTGCCTAAAGAATGAGTCAACAATTAACCAAGCAGTTATTCTTACTATAAAGCTCAAAAGATTCACTTAGCAGATAGTACCCAGCATAATTCAGGGTTAAATATTTTAAATGAATAAGAATACTAAAGATAATAATAAAGAACACTAAAATAATAAGAATACTTAAGATAATATAAATTTTCTTTTCTTTCTTTCTTTCTTTTTTTCTTTTTTTTTTTTGTCTTTTTTAGACAGGATCTCACTGTGCAGTTCAGGCTGGTCTTGAACTCACTTGGTAGTCCAGGCTGGCTTTGAATTTGCAAAGGTCCTCTTGCCTCAACCTCCCAAGTGCTGGGATTATAGGTGTGCACTACCGTGCCTGGCAGTAATACAAATTTTCAGAGTGGTTGACTTTTATAAATATGGATGTTCCTTTTAATGGTGACAGAAAATATATCATCTATATCATCCAGACAAATAACATTTACTATAACACAGGGAAAGAATGATTGGTTTTAAAATAAAAAAGTAGGACCAAAACCTCCTTAACCCACCTCTTCTAGGAAAGCCCTTGTCCATCCATGTGCACTTGCTACCTGACTTGCTTCCTAATTTCACCTCCATTTAATTAATATTACCTAAGTAACTGTACTTGTACTATTATTGATTGACCATAGTTTTGTCCAACCTCAAATCCACCTTGTGATTTTGTCATTGGATCAATATTACCTAAGCAGCTATACTTGTAATCTTATTAGTAAACTCTAGTTTTTATCCTGCCTTATACCTACCTTACCTTATTGTTTTGCTGTATAAAACTCCCCTGAGAAGTGGATTCTCCAGGCTGCCCACTTGGAACCTCCTTCTGTCCCTCTTAGACAAAAGCTATCTTTCTCTTAATAAATACTTCCTACTCCTAAAAAAAAATAAAATAAAAAAATAATTCTGCCACTAATTGGGTAAAATTGCTTTACTTTGCTCAACCTTGAGCTACGGTCTATAAATTTGGAATAATAGTAGCTCTTTGTATCCTGTAGTGGTGTTCTAGAGTCAAATGAATGATGCATGAGAATTTAATTAGTGCACACACTTCTTATCTTCCTACTTAGTTGTACACATGCCATCTCCCAGATTAAACTTTCACCATTCTGCTGTTTGTTTTTTTCTCTGGTACCGGGAACCGAACACACGAGCTTGCGCTTGCCAGGCAGGCGCTCTTGCCGCTGAGCTAAATCCCCAGCCCCTCACCATTCTGCTGTTAACAGCTCTTAACCTAGTGCCATCTGCAGAATAGCCTTCATAAATGTTTGTTGGAAATAATGAACAATATTCCCTTTAAATATTTTTGCCTTTTGTCATGTTATTATATTATAGACTAAATGAACAGCTTTAAGTCTTTTATTAAATAAGTAGGTGGAGTATGCATGCTAAACAAATACATGTTATGTTGCATCAGCAATCTCAGATGATCTTAGCAGCTCTGGAGCTGGAGTAGTCTTTCAGCTTTGACCCACTAAGGTAAGGGGGCCAGATCATTTGACCCTGCACTCATCAGTAGTGACTGTGTGCTGCGTCCAAATGGGAGATATCAGCCTGATAAGGCAGTTTTGCTAGGCCTGTGCAGTTCCTGGAGAACAACTCATCATGAGCTGTAAGCAACACAAAATGCTAAATGCTAAGAGAGTGAGCATGGGGTTGTACATCATGTAATCTGCTACTGTCCTTGTGCCACCCAGCTGTAATTGCTTCATATAGAAACTTCACCTGCATTTAGAAACAGCTATTGTAGGGCTCTGGAAGAATTTTTCTGTGGAAAATGTATCAAAGGAAGGACAGTGGGATGGTGTCCTCCCTGAACACCTTCACTCCATTTGGTATTGAAGCTACCCCTGTACTCATCTTTGTTTCCTTTGCTTTCTCCAAACATAGATTCCTCAAGAGGAGAACCCTGCTCCCATCCAACATTACTTGATACTAAGAAGTGAGTGGGTCCAATTTGTACTAAATTAGCAAGCCTTTTGGCTCCCAGGGCAACATTCTCAGACCTACTGTATCAGCAATATTTTGGCCACCTCTTTAATATTTTTGTTTTATTTCTCAAAGTGGAAAGGACATTTTTCCACAGAAATTCCTCCAAGGCCACCATAGTTCCGTGAGGGATTAGGCTTCTCTAAATGTTTGCTAGCGGCAGCACTGATGATACCTACTGAGGCAAAACACTTCTAATTCTTCTCTTTTCTAGATATAGAGTGGCTTGATTTTCAATTTAGTGTACTTTATCTTGCCAATGATTTAATTCTAACTACAAATCAAGAGATTGCTTCACAACCACTTGAGCAATGCATTGTTCCTGTGTGTGCTCAAAGGATTGCAGAATGTTCAGGGAACTTTTCCTTTTAGTATTTATGACTTTCTTATTCTTCTTTCTTCTTCCTCAGATTGTGGAGCTGCATCAAAGGACAGTCCGGATTCAGCCACCTGCTATACTTAAAGTAGCGCCTTTCTACCAGCTCTATCCATCTGTTTTTAGAGCGGATTTGTGCACCATAAAGCTCTCTTCTCATAGGATAAATTATTTCATAGGTTAGTTGTTTGATCTGCCAGTGAAATTGGCCCTAATGAGTCCACAACTCCAGTTTTCCTGGTATGCACTGAGCTCACAGCTTCTGTCTGAATCCCAAGTTCAGACAGGCGTGTTTTACATTCACTTGGAATTCTGACTTATACTTAATAATTAGCCATTTTTAATCTCAAAGTATTTATATTAGCTAGGTATATATAGCTTTATATGTAGCTTTATATGTAGGTATATATAAGCTTTATATATAGCTTTATTTGTAAGTGTATTTTGAAAAGTGAATGGGAAATATCTGTTGTGTGGGAAATTTGCTTTTACTTAGGATTTTATCACTTGCAAAATTTTCCATCATTTATTCTCCTGATTCTAAATCCTCACCTCCCTTTTCCCTGTTGTTTTCTGGTATTTTCTATTCTAAAAGTTATATCTGAAATAAGCTTTTCATACATAGTTCTCATCCATAGCTTACAAGCTCTTTTCCAGGCAGCTCTATCTCAAAGAACATCACAAGGTTATAGAGATAACCTCTGCTTAACATGGGAATTAGTAAGGCTGCACTGTGATGGAGAAATTGCTTATTTTTTCCCAGGACAGTTCCATATATCTTTAGAGGAGAAATCGGAAGTTTTGAAAAGAAAACTTAATTTAGATCAGTGACTTTTTATTCATTAGGATAAAACTCCCTAGTAACTTCAACAAATAATGCCCAAATCTTAATAGCTTTTATTTACTACTCACAAAAATGCCATTATGGGTGTAGTGGATTGACAACTGGTGGTCAACTTATAGCCCCCAGCTGAACTGAGTAAGGATGGTGCTGGGTGTGGTAGGCCCACCTGGGGACTGTTGCCAGCAGCCTAAGAGGCAGACCTGCAGAAGAAGAAAAAAGGTTTTTGGGAACCAAAATGTGGTTGGGAGCTGAGAAAGGCTGTTGGGAGCTGGTAGAAGCTGTAAGGAGCTGTTGGTTCTGTTGGAGGAGCTTGTCATGCTTGCTTTCCTGATGAACTCAGCTGTTTTCATTCTTTGGGGAGCTCCGAACCTTGTTGGCATTGAGAATAACTTTGGTTCACTTTAGGGGAGCTCTGGTCCTCTGAGCGTCTCTTCCTGGCTCCAGAGGGGAAGATGGTGCACAGCTCAGGCTCCTGAAGAAGCTTGCTGTGTTGGCATCCCTGATGGGGATTCGGCCATCTTGATCATTGGAGGAGCTCGGGACCTCATTGTTGCTGAGGATGGCTGTGGTACCTTTCGGGGGAGCTCTGATTCTTCTGAGCATTGCTTCCTGGCTCCAGTGCAGATCCCAGCCTGCTAGCACAGATCCTTCATCCCTCTGGCCCAGACTTTCTAGATTCCACCACTGAAGTTTGGGCCTTAGCGGTGAAAACCAGGTGTGCATGAGATATTGTTATGGGCTCTAGGCCTCCAGTTGGATTCGTGGGAGGCATTGTTATGAGCTCTAGATCTTAACCTGGACTCATGCAGGTCATTATTTTGGGATCCAGGCCCTCAGCTGGATTCTTGGTCTAGAGTTTGTGGCCAGATTTCCTGCAGTCTTTTGTATATCATTCTTTGAGTGACTATTATAATTAATCTACAAAATATGTGTCCTGTATTTATATTGATTCTCCTTGCATGATATCCCCCAAACCATAACAATGGGTTTCATGGCCGTTTGGGGCAATTGCTTCATGTGGCTTTTCAATGTCAGATTTCTTTACTTCTAGCAGTGCTCCTTCTAGAAGAAAGAGTAGGGAGAAGAGAATAATCAGGGTGCACTATGGTTACATATGGTTTATCCCTTCTAAAATTCATGTTAAGGCTTAATAAAGTATTGTAAAGTGGTGGGGCTTTCAAGAGGTAATTAGTTTTAGTCTCCACCCTTTGAAATTAGGTTTTTCATAAGGATTTGTTAGAGTAGTTTGCTATAAAGTGAGTCTGGAACCTCCCCATGCACATTTCTATGTGTGCTTGTCTTCGACACTTGTTTGCCTGTCTTTCTGCCTTTTACCCTTATGATGCAGCATGAGGCCCAGACTAGACATGGCTGTCCAACTTTGAATTTCCAGCCTCCAAAACCATGACCTAAATAAACTTTTGTCCTATATAACTTACCCAGTCTCAGGTATTCTGTTATGACAATGGAAAGCAGCATGAGATAGTATGCCTTATTGTCCAGTCTGGAATTAGTAGCTGTCCCTTTTGTTCACATTCCACTAAAGAGAATTCAACTCCATGGACTGAAGAATTCAAGGCAAAATATAAAATTCAAGCCAAACTTTTCTCAGGTATTTCCTTCTAAAAGTGGCTCTCCAATTAAACATTTCTGGGTTCTGGGTTGCTTGTCTGTCTTTCTGGAGTTAGATCCCAGGTTCTTTTCATCTTAAATGAAGCATTGAACAAAATGAGCAAAAATCAGTGGCTAAGTTAATTCAAGAAAGTAAAAGTGAAGAATGAGGGAGAAACTGGCTCTGCAGAGTGAGCATGGGCCAAATAAAAGGAGAAAATTTAATGAACAGATGCCCTGGAGAAAGCAGGGAAGGCTACCATGAAGAAGGTCACAACAGAAAATTCTTCTTGGCATCTATGTCTTTTGTGCAGTCCAAATCTTGAGGAAATCTGAGAGAACGTCAACATATAGGTTCTGAGAGGCAGTGGTGGAACCCCACACCTCAAACTGACATCAGGTCTAGGCCAATCCATTGAAAACATGCTTCAGTTCTTGAGAGAAGTCCAAGTGCAGGGCTTTGGGCACTGTTCTGCACATGTATTCTGGGATCTTGTAATTAACAGATCATGCCTACTTCCCAACCAGCTTTGCCATGCCCTAATCTCCTATCTCAAAGCTAAAGTAGCAAATTCAAGGCAAAAGAACTCCTGGAAAGTAAATGCTCAGTGAAATATTAACTGTATGGAAACATCCATAGCAATATATTTGCTATTTACTTTGACAGATACTAAGATATATAATCTCATTTCTAGTACTGTAAGATTTATGAGCAACTAGAAGTTTCTACTAAAATCTACTAAAACCAAAGAGCAAAAAGAAATAAAAACTTGGGGCAATAAATAACTAACATATAAAGAGATAGTAATATAAAGTAATATTAGTAATAAGTAGGAAAGACTTAAAAGAACTAACATATAAAGAGATAGTAATATAAAGTAATATTAGTAATAAGTAGGAAAGACTTATTCTCACCCCTTTGGAAGTCAATTATATAATAATCCACCTAATGATAAAGAAATTTAAAAATAATTGTGGGGTCTTTTAATTCAATCCACTTTTTTCTTGTAATTCTTAAATCTTGGAAGCCAAATGTTTCTTTCAGAAGAGTTGTTACCTTCTCCCCTGGCCTCTCATAGCATATTGTTATTGTGCAATAAAGTGGAGGTTGGGATAAACCCCCAAGAATCCCATTGAGTGGAATGAGTAACATCTAGGGCTCTTTAGCTTTGGGACAGAAAATTAGAGTATAGCAAAGCTGGCTTGGGAATTAGGTTTGATCTGTCAATTACAAAATCCCATGACACATGCACAGAACAGTTCCCAAAGCCCTGTGTGCAAATTTACTGCAATAACTCCAGCTTTTTGATAGGTTTTTGATAGGATGGCCTAGAGCTTACATCAGCCCGAGGAGAGGGTGATATAAAAGGGACAATCCACACCGAGTTCTTGCCCCTCTCTTGCCTAGTGGCCCACACTCATCATGTACAGTGTACTTTTCCTACTTTTACTTGGTCCACAGTTGCTCTATAGAGCCTGTCTCTTTTTTTAAGTTTAATAAAATTTTGCTGCTCTTTGTGTTTGTCTGATCAACTCTTTGCTCAGGACAGAAAGAATGTAGATATCACCTCTAGAGAGAGATTCCAGCACCCCAAAACATGGTAACATCTTCACTGCATCCCATGGAAAGACAGTTGTCAGTTGCCTTCATTGCACCTTCTTTTTAGAATGTGGTCTCTGGTATAGATCAGACAACACCTAATTGGGTTTATAACGAGAGAGAGCAAGCAATTATAAGAGGAGACAAACTTGATATAGCTTGATTCCCAGTGAGTTTGCATCAGGTTATTATGTGATGTTGGAATTGCAGGGCTCTCCATTAGGAGGAGGAAGGAATACTAGTCCTGTTGGCTTTCTTTTCTTGTTTGTTTGTTTGTTTGTTTTTTCTTTTTTCTTTTTTTTTTTTTTTGTCTTTTTGAAGCAGGGTGTGGCTATGCAGTTCAGGCTGGCCTTGAGCTCACTTTGTAGCCCACGCTAGACTCAAACTCCCAGTGATCCTCCTGCCTCCGGCTCACAAGTGCTGGGATTGCAGGCATGCACCACCATGCCCAGTGCTTTATTTTCTTTTTATTAAATGAGGAAGGTTTTGTTGGAAGTAAGTAGAAAAACATAGCTCCTAGATTTCCAAGTGGAGTCCTGCATTGGCTGCCACATGGCTCCTTGGTTCAGAGGTTTTTACAGAGTAGTGGACCAGGTAATTGCTTAGTTGTTTTTTGGCCACATATCATGGGTGACTCTGTGGATTTAAAATGATGAATTAGAATTCAGCCTCTGTCACTATGTCACTCAGAATGTAGGGTTTAAGGAAACTGAGATTTTAAGAAAAAGCAGTTATTTTGCCTTTTAAATTTCTCAAAACTCAGAATTTAATTGGGAGGGACTGTAACTCCCTTTAGTAGGGTAGGACTGTATTCCATGTTGTCTGAGGAATTTCATTCTTGCCCCAGAGTCCTAGTTTGCTTCTTATTCTTATTTAAATTTTATCTGATACAGCTAATAGCTCAACTCTCTCTCAGGGCCTTTCCCTAGCTAGCTGCCTACTCATAAGCTAACTAAACTATTTACATTCTCCCCTCTGAAGAAGTATCCTTAACTCACTTAATGGAAAAGACTGAATCAAGGTAGTACTATTTTCTGCTGAAAAGGGACATCAAGGATTTTTTACAGAGAGCTAATATAAGTGGTCTTTAGTACAAGTAATATTGGGGTTTAGCGGTTACGGACTATCTTCAGAGGGTCAATTTAATAGACTGTGGAAAAGGAGTTTGGCACATTCATTATTGCTTTTATTTGCATAACATTTTGAAGTTTGAGATAACAATCATAAGTATGTATGCACCAACTACAGGAACACCCAACTATATAAGCAAATATTAATAGATACAAAAAATCAAATGAGTAATAATAC